CTCACCCAATCACTCACTCACTCACTTAATCACTCACACACTCACTCACCCACTCACTCACCCACCCACTCACCCACTCACTCACACTCACTCACTCACTCACTCACCAAACCACCCACTCACTTAGTCACTCACTCACTCATTCACCCACTCACTCACTCACTCACTCATTCACCCACTCACCCACCCACTCACTCAATCACTTACCCACTCACCAACTCAAACACTCACTCACTCACTCACTCACTCACTCACTCACTTACTCACTCACTCACTCACTCACTCACCCACTCACTCACTCACCCACTCAATCACTTACTCACTTACTCACTCACTCACTCACTCACTCACTCACTCACTCACTCACTCACTCACTCAAACAGGTCCACTTGCTTCTAACAAAAGTCGGCATACAAATATATATATATATTCCCGAAATATTATGCATTTTTTCACTAGAAGATTGGAATGTAGTTGTAAAAAAAGCGTTTTAGCGCTTATATCCAAAGTTATTTACAGGCAAGTTGGCTGGCTTTTCTTCCCGGCGGCGCTGCGGCGGCTGACGCATTACCAATCAGAGACGCGAAATGCGCAGGCAGCTGAGCAGGCTTCGCGCGGTGCATGGAACAAATTTTGGGGTCAAATCAGAATCGTATTTCAAACGATAAGACGCAATGAGACATCAGAGTTGGCGTGGGCACTTTTCGACATCCCTATCTAGACACCCCCGGTCTGGATAGGGTTAAATAGTGCATGTGTGCAGGCTGTCAGAAAATATCTATTTGGGAGTATTACAATTCCACAGAACAGCATTGCCTGCTGCTTCATAAATTATTCAAGCCATATATGCTTTTCCACACTGCTGAGTTGCCATAATAACAACATTAGCCACAACAGATAAACAATAAAGCAGATAGACCAAACCAAGCAAAATATAGCGGAATACAGAAGCACGTACTGCCACTAGCTATCATGGGCTACGGAGGTGGCAAGCCTTCCAGAGCCTCGGAGGGGCTTTTTAAAACTAAAATTAATACGAGCGCGGATGTCATCCATGCATTTTTCTTTAAATGTGGCCTTACCGTCTGGCGAATCGCCTGATAGTCAGCGGGCCAACCGGCCTACATGAGGGCTGAGACTTAAGGTCATCATTATCAACATAACATAGATACTAATTCATTTACATAACGATATAGATCATTTCTTATAAATATAGGCCATAGATATACACCCAACCACAGGCATATAAACACTCTAGCAGTAGACTGTGGTGCAGTTTGGGAATGAGGAAGATGCCTATGAAAGTACATTTGTGGAATTATTTATTGCAATGTTATGAAGTTGTAATTTAGTGAGTTAACAAAATAGAACAAAACATGGGAACACAATTGCAAAACGGGACGGGGGGGGGTACAAACTCAGCCTCGTTTGGGATTCTGCTCCTCGCCACAAAAGCACCACCTACATCGGCTACATGTAGAGGCGAGAAGCGGAACTCCAGTCAGAAGCTCAAATTAAGGTGTCTGACAGACACCGAACTGTCAGCAAGGTAACTATTTTGGTTGTGTAAAAGAACTACCGTGAAACTACTGTGTTTAGTTGACCAAATTCTCCATTCAATGAAATTCCTATTTTAAGAAAAAAGGGCTCTTCTTACTAGTGTTTTCTCAAAAATTATAAGAATTATGATATCCATAGGCCCATTTGAATTGCGTAGTCAAACCACAAACCTCTCTGTGAACACCTGTCTCGTGCAGCGACGATCTGTTCTTGAGTCATGGCGAAGTTGTACAGCTGGATACAGGCTATCCGGCCCGCGAAGTACTGACTGCTTCCGTACCTCACCGCCACCCGGACCGGGTACTGAGTTGCGACAGACGGGACTCCGACCTGCACCTGTGCGACCTCTGAACCGTTGTACCAGAGGATTGCAACCCCTGTGGAACTATTGTAGGTTCCGCCCACGTAGTTCCAAGCGTTCTGCTGCAGCACACTCGCATGGGCGTACTGTGAGAAATATCCATATCGCTCATACGTCCTGCAATAGACAGTTGATATTTATAATTTTAAAATTGTCAACCGCGAAGAGAAGAAAAGCAAAAACGCACACAGATCCGTGCTTCATGACAACTTATAACTGAAAGAGCGTGAATGTATGAATTAAGGATGAGACCTGGTATGCATACCTTGTAATCACTTCCTTAACTTAAAAAAGATAAGCGAACCGGAACTATAAAAACGGCACTGCCTTCCATCCGTAGGTTCAGTGTGTCTAAAATCCTGTAGGTCAAGGGCAATGTGTCAAAGTCTAGCCCAACCACCTCTTTTCACCGCCTTACACCCCCCCCCGAAAAAAAGAACTCAGGTACCTATTTTTACATGTGAGTGAGGTTATTGTATTGCCCAAGGGTAAAAACTAGGAGACATGTCAAAATTCACACAGAGGACTTTAGATGTTTTTAGAATTTTGCACGCAACACCCTGCCGTTACGCCACATGACCCTGTCTGTCATACTGGGCTATAAACGTACCTTAACATGAATAGCTGTGGAGCTGTTTGCCAAAAATGCACCGCCCACTGATTATTGTTGCCGACGTAGTTGAAGATTGGCCCGGCCTGACCTGTAGGATATATGTGGGCCAGTATGGTGTAGGAGTACCGCACGTCAAGCTTGCCGTTGTTGGGAATGTCGATGTAGGAATTTGCAGTCCCGGAAAACAGGAAAGCGCCACCAGGGTCTCCGTATGGACCAGGGGCTAACTGGGTTCCTCTTGCTACCCCGTCATTTCCGTTTTCTGTTTCGTCTGATGCTCCGTACTGCGTGTTTAATGGCCACACCCCACCTGGGTCACATGCTGAGAACATATTTGTATGGTGTTTAAATTGCGTTTCAATGAGGTATTTTTATCTGTATCAATATAACTGACATAACCGCCTTTTAGCTTAACAAAGCAGCGTCGCAGACACTTAGCTACATTACCCCAACAACCTGTTACTTCCAATGTTTGTACATACAACGAGTTGTTCGGAGTTTTCTAGTTATAATGGCCCGACTTTACTTGGTGGCAGCGGCTCCTCCCTACAATAGTTCTTGGAAAATAATATTTTTAACAAGGAATTTTTTGTTGATTACTCTGATATTTAAAGATATCGATATCAATGCATTATATATTTACACGGTATGTTATCATATAGCCAGTAGCTGTCGACCAATAAGAAGGCTCAATTTCCCATGGGTTGTCAGACCATATCTTAAAAAGTGGGCCATAACCTAAAAAGATAACCATCCACTTTTTGAACCGTCCCATTATACGGGGGAGAGGACCTCGTTTACTCGGTGGTTTATTCGTTGGTTATCGCACCCGACCAGGGATTATCTCAACAAATACACCTCGGGTCGGGGCATTAACCATTTATTATAATTTAGCTAAATTATGGTATATATTACAACTGACGAATTATACATGTTTCAAACCCTCCTTGTTTTTGTATCAGTTGATCATATCCTTTACCCAATGACTGCCTTATCTTATTAACATGATTTCAATGGGTTATGCCAACTTTATTTATGATCACCTCCATCTTATAATAATTACATAACATTAAAAACGCACAAGTATAACTTTCCTACCAGTCAACGCTATTGCATTATGGAAGTAACCAAGTTAAGATATTGCAGTAAAGAAAAACATAAAACGTGGGATAATGCTGCATCATAAAAGAATGCCATTATTTGTGGCGGGGAATGCGGCTTTGTCTTTATTTAAATTTTTAACGATTGATATTTTACTATTTCAACGTGTTACTCATTGATTGATGGACCATTTGTATACACGAACCAACAAAAGCGAATTGACACCGAATTAAAGCTAATGTTTTTGGCTCCATCAGGACTATTCCATCCTAGTGAGAAAAAGGTATTAAATAGGTATCTTCAGATGGCAAAAAGAAAAGAGCAAGGCAAAAGAACAACTGAAGCAGAACATTTTTGGCAGATCTGAAAAAAGGCAAACATAATCAGACAGCAGCTGTTAATAAAAGGACATGAAAACTTGCCACCCTTCGTAGCAACTTTTCATAACAAAAATTTTGATGAGGTAACACCTAAGGAAAATTTTGTTAGGCCACACCGATTAATTTTATGGATGACATCCGCGCGCGCATTGATTTTCGCCTGTTCTCAAAAAAAAAAAAAGATCAAGTCATCCAAGGCTCTGATCTAGCTCTAGGCATGGGTAGTCCATGGTAGTTAGCGACAATACTCTGGAGGATGGCACCCAGGCTACCCACCGAAGCTCCACGACTCAAGAACCCAGTACATACGTACGTGCCCATTCATAAATTCCGCAAAAAGCCAGCATGTGCCGGTTTGTCGTAAACGTCGCTACATGTATGTACTGCCGCAAATCCACAATACCAGCTGTGTATCCCTATGGTTTAGTAGCCTTTTCTATTTTTGGCCTGATTTTTTTTATTCGCCCACGCGCACTAGTTTAGGGGTCTTCAGAGGATGTCATCCATTAAATCAACTTGGTGTGGCCTTACCTGTTCCAGTCCTGAAAAAAATATTAGGGTTGTTTTTTTAGACTTTGTTAAAACTTGCATGAGGAAATTTATATTTCAATGTCCATGTTAGAAATATTTTTACATTTCATTATATTCTAAGGTGTAAGATTAAGGTCAATTAGATTGAAAAATGTACGTCCCTTGCTTGTGTGAGATCCACACACAAAAAAGCAGAGGGTCGGCAGTTTTTCTATGGTCTGTCGGGAAACAGGCAGCATTACATTTTTTTTCCTTGGCCTCAGATCTACATATTTAATGTAAAGAAGTGTAGATTAATTCCTAAAGCTACATTCACAATGCAATTTTATCATTTGACTCAGTATAAAGGCCCCGTGTTGTAAAACAACAGATTCGTGTCTATATAATATGGCACGGTCGGCTGGCCCAAGCATTTTAATTGCAACACCACACACTGCAAATATTTGCGTTGCAGGCAAGTGCCAACCTCCGTCTTGGGTATAACCATACCTTAAATCATGTCCCAGTTATAAAATTTGAAGAAGTGTTAAAAACAGTTCAGTTGGGTCAACTCAAATTCTCCTTTTGGTCAGTAAATGGGTAAAGTAGTAGTGTCGATTAAAAACAATTTCACAGAAATGTCTTACCTTGTGCTTGAGTCACAAGCTGAAGCAAAAACCACACAAGAACGACTCGGTCGAGCAGGCTTTTTTGCAGTATCTTCTTCATTTCTGTGTCGTAATTTTTTGTTGAGTAGTCAACGGAAATTCGTGACTAGTCCAGAGAACGTTACTCGAACAGACTCGTACCGTTGCTACAGGTGCTCCACAACATGAGACAACCGCACCCATTCCTGCCCATATAAATTAGAGAAATACAATAAAGATGAACAGCGTGAAATATTAAGAATTAATCGAGTGAATGGAAACTATGACTACTAAAAGCCTTTGCCCAGAGCTTTTGTGTAGAGATGTAATTACCCCGGTAAATGGAAGAGCAGTAAAACAAGTGCTTTTCCAAAAAGCTGGCATTTCGACGCGCTTTTAGTGTGATAGTTGTTCCTCTAACACATGCAACCTTGCATCTGCTTGGAAATAACTTTAAAGGTATGCCACATATCTACATTTGCTTGAAGATGACAATAGTCAGATCATGGATGCAACCAACATCTGCTTGGAGATAACTCTTACACTTATGAAACCTACATGTGCTTGGAAATGATTATACTATATGTTCCTTTACATCTACTTTGAGATGATGCTGTATATATGACACCCTAGACATAGGTTAGGGAGATGTACATGTAGACCAGATATTTTGATTTGAGTTTCGTCTTTAGTGACATTTAAGAAAACATTTGTATTGGTTTCTATCACTTTGTTTGCCTAAAAATTGCTAATGTAATTGCGTATCAAGGTGATTGCGCAATGGACGTGTCCTATGACCTTCGACCTTTTGGGGGTCATGCAGTCGCCCTTCCCACGCCTCGCCCGTCCGTTTTCGTGGACAAATTTATGCTTTTTTAAAAGATTTTTGGAACTAAAAACTCACATCAGAGGAAACTACATATTAAGTTATAAACTACATAAAACTACATATTAAGTTATTTTCATGAGAGTGATCAGTGCTGGAACATATAAGCCAGTCTCTGCAATAAGCATAAGGCCAAACTGATTTCTTTCACATGTGCGCGAGCATTAATGTTCACCTTGAGTGTTATCCTCTGTACTCCATGGTAGTTTGCGACAATAGAGAGCCAGCGGTAACTACAGATGGTATCCAGGCTGCTGAAGCAATAGGAACTCAAAATTCAAAATGCTTGGCTGTTCGTCGATGTCGACGAAGACTTCTACATGCATCCTCTCCTCATCTGTTTTAACAATATTTAATAATATGTAATAATTTTTTACAATAATACCCATATTTTAATGATATATTGTGACCTCAGAGCAATTCAGGCAGCCAGTATGGCTGCCTGCGAGTCTGTTGTCAGTGTGGTGGTAATTGAAATTGTGTATGTCTGGAGTTTGCAATTTGAAATAAACCATTCTACTACTACTACTGTTGTGCCAGCATGTGACTCAGGAGGCCGATTCTGGATCTGCAGGGACGTCCACAGTGCTGACAGCTGAACTGGAACGGAACTCCTTGGTTTCCTGGACACTGCTGCAGCCGCTACTTTACGACCATGTCTAGTCTCTTCAAGTATTGGTTGGCTTTACAGATTCTGCTGTTGATCTCTTTATCGAGAGAGCCATCATTGGAGATCACACTACCAAGGTAAGTGAACCCATCCACGGTCTTCAGTTTAGTACCCCCGATTGAGATACATGGGCAACGTCAGCAAAGAGGGCCTCCAATATAGTTGTCACCACTGTCTTTGTTTTCGCTTTTAGCCGACGCAGGTCGAAAAGGGACCCCTCCGTTCTGTACTTCAGGTGCACCCCATCTCTTACATCTCTCAATGCCTGGTTGAGAACACTTATTGAAGAGAATTGGGGCTAGCACACACCCCTGTTTGACACCGTTGGAGATTTTATATGTTTTAGATGCTTCTCCCCCACAGAGTACCATGCCTGTCATCTGGTCATGAAATAAACGGATCAGGTTCACAAACTTCCTGGGCACACACCAAACTTTTCAGAGAGCCTCCCTACTAACCGTATCAAAAGCTTTTGTGATATTGATGAAAACTGCATAGAGGTCCAGGTTTTGCTCATTGCACTTCTCTTGTACTTGACGTACCGCAAAAATCATGTTAATTGTACATTCGTCGAGGCAGGTTTATTTGTTGAATGAACCGACCTGCTGTTAATATCTACAGAAGCTAGTCTTAGAGAGTATTTTAGCCACAAGCACACAGGCAAAAATCAGGAAAAACAAAATAGCAGATACGTTAGTCATTTTTGTTTTTCCGATATATTTATGCGTTTGTTTGTAATTGTGTCCTAAACTTTGGCAGTTTTCATGTTTCTAACATGCCCAAAGCGACTTTTAGAAAATACATACATCATTTGTTGACGTTGAAACTGGAATAGAATGTTGTAAAAATAGAGTTCTCAAAAATTATTATCTGACGGTAAATGGAGTTTTACACACCGAAGTTTTTTTATTAAGCCGACGTTTCGGTGACCGCCTGTCACCTTCCTCGGGGCAATTTTGAGTGGTTCACATTGCACTGCAGCACAGGTGTCGCTGCTATAGATGCTTTCCCAAATGTACAATATTAACATGTCTACACAATGTGCTTAATTACAGGGAAATGTATCTACAATGCGGTCTATAGCTGGGACACCTGTGCTGCTGTGCAATGTGAACCAGTCAGAATTGCCCTGAGAAAGGTGACAGACGGTCACCAAAACGTCGGCTGAATAGAAGACTTGGTTGTAGTAAAAAGAGTCCCTTTACTCAGTGACTTACCAACATAATAAAACTATTCACAGTATATGTTTTATTTCATTATGATATAGTGGTCAGCTATCTTTTACCAATTTTGTACGTGTGGTGCCGCGTATGATTTTTGAGACATTATTAAGAAAATTTCGTAAATGGCTTCGTCAGGTTGCTAAGACACTGAGTGAAGAGACTCTTGCTACACAACCGAGTCTGTCACCTTCCTGTATGTAACCTTATTAAGAAAATTATCACGTATTCACCCCATCTAGCTAGTTTTTAGTATTTTGTCTTTTTTTCTTATTTCCTTCTCCTTGTCGTTATTACTCCGTGAAGGAGGTCAGGACCTCCGGACGGAGTGTTGTGATCGGCTGATTTTTCATGTTCGCAGTCAAAACACTGGGTTCTCTTTGTGTAATCGGCACGCAATTTCATACGCCGTCTGCGGGCATGCCCGTGTTGATGCACGAATGTGTATTTTTGCCGTTGCTGCTTTCGCGGTCAATGTAATATTGCAGACGCACCCCTACAATTACGAGGCGAATTGGAATGGTCCAGAAAAACGCGTTGTTTGGAATAGCAGTGGGGGGCTGGAACTTCATGCAGATACGGGGTGGTTTTGATAAGTGGTTCTAGATGTTTTTGCCCATGCTTAAGTGATGCCAAGTTTTTTGGAAGATGTTCGCAGCCAAAACGCATTCTTCCGTACGTCGCATTTCTGTGTAATTTCGCATGTGGTGTGGCATTATGTCCGGGATGATGCACGTCTTTTTATTTTTACCGTAGCTGTTTTGATATTGAAGTAAATGCATATTTTAGAAACATCCCTACTTTTACAATCCTGTGGAATAGGCCGTAGGTTTAGGCAGTTGTCTGGTAGCAGAGGTACTGTAAGCAGATATCCTGGTTATCTGGCCGGCGGTAGTAACACTCGCGGTGCTTACCACAACTGTTGCTTGAATTTGGCCTGTTCCAGGCGCGCTTAATGAGGTACAGGCACGGTAAGACGGTTTGGCTGTCTTTGTTACTAGACACGACCATGATAGTCCGATCTTTATGTGAATGCAATGTTTGTGTGTGTGTAATGAAAATGAACTTCGAACTTGAAGCACAGTATCTTTACACGCCCTGGGAGCAGTAATGGATTTAGCTCTTTGTATGTTTTATGCTTGTGACGCGCCCTCATTGTATTAACCGTTGCCTAATTATAATGTCTGCACAGTAGGTCTGGCGTTGACGCTTGGAATTTTGTTAAAATATATAAAACTTCACGGAGAATTGTCACCTATGGCTCCTTGTTGAAATTGCAACAAGACAATACAGATGCTGGCACTAGGCAGCTACCACATATACCATGCATGTTATCACAAGGGTTAACAGAAAATAAATACAATCAAATAACGATAAATAGCACCTGATATATCGAATACAAATTAGATATTTTGTCGAGAACCAAAGAAGTGGGAGGGGGGTCTTGGGCGTCTCTACTGAATGTGTATACGGCAGAGTTGGAGCATGCGCACATGTTTGTAAAAATCACGTGATTACATTAAGAGTTCTCTACATGGGTGAATAGATTTGTTTGATGTTTCCCAAATTACTTCTTTTTCCACGAAAATAAGTCTGGCTCTTGCAGAAAAACAAAATGCTATTGCATCACCTCATGCCACGTCATTCTTCCAAATAAGGGTGAAGGTAACCATACTTAGTCAGACCAATTAAGGTTTATTTGCTATATTCATTAAGTTTTTACAGTTATACCCTGCGCAACAATACAGTGTGCACATTACGGTCGAAATGAACGGGCAGGGAAAGGCTGTCCGGCCGCCTGTCTCCGGCCCCGACAGCCGGCAAACCAGCGGGCTGTCGTCCCAACCCCGTCCCGTCCAGCAGAGTGGTTCTCGCGGGCGTGTCCGCAACGGCAACGGCGCTTCTGACAAGCAGCAGGAAGACCAGGACACGTCTTCACACAGGTACGAAGACGTCGATGGGTTGGAACGTCACGCAACGTCTGCAGGTAAAGAACCGGACTTTTACAGTGAATATTTAATAGAATCAGGAAAAACAATTGCTTTGAAAAAAGCTGACATTTCGACTGACAAAGGTTTTACTGTCGTTATTGAGGTCGAAGTTGTTGAAATAATATTACCCAAGTTGATGAAATTGGTACGAGACCACTTAAAGAAGAAAACACATCTGATATATGTATGTAACTCTTCATATATACATGTAGATGAAAAATAGCAATTTTGAAACCCGTAGCACTGTGACGATTTTGATGATAGCACATGCTACACACACAAAAAAAAATGCTTCATAAAATTAAGCTTAGTTGA